CGCACGTGACTCGTGCTAAACACGGGGCAGCTTCGTCATGGCCAGGGGGCGCCTAATTAGGTCGACCTAAGACCTAGTGGACCTGGCAGACTTAAGGACCCTAACCCCAACGCGCTTGAAACAAGTAAGTCATTCTCACGCTAGGTCGTGCATATAGCGATCGCGAACGACGCAGCAGCCAGCACCTCGTCTCGATTTATTTATCGCATGCGCCCTGGGCAGCGCATATGCCCCGGACAGAACGCCCTTGCAGCAGCCAGCGTCCTGTCTCGATTTATTTATCACCTACCTGCCCTGGCTGCCTGGCTGCTAACTTACTGATCATGCTCTCACAGCAGCCAGCACTTGCGGCCCGTCTCGATTTATTTATCGCCTAAACCCCAGAAGGAGCACCCTTGCAGGCAGAACGCCCTTGCAGCAGCCGGCACCTCGTCTCGTCCTCGCATCACTCCCTTCTGGCAGCCGGCACTCGCAGCAGCCAGCGCCCCGTCTCGATTTATTTATCGCCTACATCCTGCTTCGAACGGAACGCCCTCGTAGCAGCCACAGAGCAGCTCGGACGCAACAGAGTGTATTGGGAGAGACGAGGACATAGAGGATAATGAAATAATGGGCAGGCCAAGATAGGTATGTGTGCTCACTTCGTCACCCATCTCTTCGCATGCTCATAAAGAAACAGCCGAGCAGAGCGGAGCAGCCTATACGCTCACTTCGTCACCCATCTTTTCACACAACAAAATGGTCGAGCGGCCTATGCGCTCACTTCGTCACCCATCTTTTTGCATCTACGAAAGTGACACTAATGTCTCGACAATATCCGGGACGTCTACGACGACTCTTGTTGATGTCTGCCCGCAAGAACCTCATTTCCAACAGCGACGCGAACCCGACTGGTCCACCTCCCATCTATCATATGTCGTCAAAGATTCCATCGGCACCTCTTCCGCCTCTTCTGCCTCTTCCTCCGTCGCCCTCTCCCCTCCTCTGTCCGCGTCGTACATTCCTCGCGTGTCTCCGCGCGTCGAAGCTCATGCAAGATCGTTCATATTCGGGCAAAGCTGGCCGGTCTCTCGGCCGCTGTGAGCGTGCCCTCGGCGAAGCATTGGAATGGCGGCTGTGGGTCGGCAAGGGACCATCTGCGCCGAGTACAATGTCTTCACTGAGCAATTGCGCGCTGCCACAGCGAACTCATTACCCGGTCGCCGTGTTCCTGACCGACCCCCACGACTTGGTGCCGCTGTACCCGGCCCACGCTGCTGCGGTGCAGACCTGTTCCCGGAGCCTATCAAATCTCCGGCGCACCGCGACAATGCCGAACATGGAGGCCAACGCTGGCGATGGCTTCCCATGCGCGAACACGACCACAGTATCCTATGAGCACTCCGCGGCGACAGCTATGGAGGCGACGCTTATTGCGGAACCCAACATGGACGACTTCGACTTTGCAGGAGCTCCTGTGCCGTCCATGCTTGTTGCACCTACGCTGCAAGTGTCCTTGTATGCGGACGACGTATCATCACCGTCACTCTCGACACCCGGCCTTGTGTATTCGCCCATGTCGACATCATCAACGACATCCTCGGACGATGGAGATCGTACCGCGCATCTCGGGTTCCAGCACATACCCTCGAGCCTCGGCTACTCCGAAATTTCTGCTGACGTTCCTGGCGGAAAGCCATTCGTCATGGACTACTCGCTTTGGGCGGTGAGTGAAACTATTTTTGCGAGGAACAAGCTCCCTTCGCTCGAGCCGTATATCGTCGACCAGCCTGTGTGGCTCCCGCCGTCCAATTTGTCACCTTATTTATTGCTACGGGGCATATCTTGTAAGGTACAATTAAGCAGATAGTAATATACATTAGACGGAGCCTAGCTAATATCAACAAATTTTGCTGTCAAACATCAGACACGGCGGAAAATGGGAGATACGAAACAACAGGTGGGTAAGAAGCTGCGCACATGACACGGCACGGCATGGGTGAGCAAGTGGCGCAGAGAGCCAAAACAAAGGAGAGCTAGAAATTTGCATGCGTGAGATAAGGCTGTTGTGAGGGGGTACCAAGTGACGACAAGCATGTGCACCGGGGAACAGGTGCATGCGGAACAGGGAGCGGCGAGCGTATACAAACGGGGTTATAGGGGAGATGCGTGCGGCGGACGCGCAAAGCGAAGGCGAAAGCAGAGGCAAGGTACATACCGCTGCATTAATCACGCCGGGTCTCGCAGGCAGTCGAGCCAAAGGAAAGTTTTCATCTTTGTCTCATCTGTGTCGCCTGCCCTGATCAGACCTGAAGGGGTTCCTTCCGCGAGCTCCAGCTCTGGCCAGAGCTCAAAGCCAAACGCGCCATCTGCGAGCATGACCGTACGATCTCTGATAGTGGCCGCGAGTGCCTCGTACTCCATGCTGAGGCCCGCACAGTCGTTCTGGATGATAGCTTGCTCATAGAGCTGATGCAGGTGCGTGAGGAATGAGATAGCATCGAATGTTTTACCCTTTTTATAGATGCCTTCTGGTTGCGGCCAAGGTGCGAGCTTGACATGGCTCGTCTTCTTCCAACGAGTCGGGAAGCCGTCCGAGCAGCTATCGCGCGGGTGGTTTCCTGGTCCACCGTTGTTGCCGTTTGGGGCCCGAATGCAGGAACAGCGCGTGCACGAGCTGCGCTGTTGTTAGTAAGCCAAGGTGAGGGAGTGTACATTGCGAGAAAGAAGACTAGTGTTGCTTACTGTTCTTCTATCATCTTTGGTGTCTCCACCAACCACCTTGCCATTAACAACTCGCACCTGCGTACCTTTCCCAAGTGGAACGGCCAGGCAGTGACGCCTCCAGAAGGCTTCGTTGCCGCATTTTGCTGCACAAGACAATCAGTCAGACTGGGATCTAAGTTTCAAAGTGATGGTACGCGTACGTACATGTGAAGCTTTGGTGCTTGATCCGCTTCAGAACAGCCGTCTCCATCTCACCGAGCTTGTCCAGAATTGCACGCGGATTTTTTGCCACATAGGGAAAGCCTTTTTCTCGTGCGCGTGTGGCCAGTGTAGCGTTGAAGAGGTGCGTCGCTTCCACATACTTGTGTGAGTTCATGGCGAATGACCTCCACTGTTGTTCTGCGCGCAGGTCCATGAACAGGTAGAACTCCTCGTCGCTGTCAATATGTAGTGACCGCGGGTCCATCCCGCTTGAGATGGCAAAAATGCGCTGTGAGCGGGTGAGTCCTTGGGAATTGAGATCGGCAGGCAGAGGAAGTGGATCAGAGAGTTTACTGGCCGACAGATGACCTTGAACAGCTTGCCGGGCTGTCACCGTGACTGTAGATGCTGCAGACGCAGGGTGACGGCTTGTTGCGAGCGGCTGAGTTGCAGCCCCGGAAGTAGCAGCAGGAGCGGAGGTGGCAATACCAGTCACGGACAACTCAGAGAAAGCGACAAGAGCAGGGGCAGATGATGTTTGTAGAGGAGCTGCTATCACCTCATGTCGTTCTGCTGACCCCGTTTTGAGTGCAGGTTTATCGGCACTAGAGATGGTGCAGCTCTTTGTATGGGTTTGGAAGAACTGATGGGTCGCATGGCCACCAGAAGCCTGCCAAATGTAGGTTAAATTCAGTCCTTATCTGCAGGAGATCTTTGCACTCACATTGCCAGTTCCGCGGACAGAGATCCGAACCTTCTTGAGCTCGACCTGGCCATCTTCAATCTCTGCACCTTCGGTCGCCCGACGCTTGCTTGAAGTCTTCGAGATCGTGTTCTCACCGACGATCTGAAGCTCAGGGCTTGCCGCGCGCACACTCAGAGTGAGCAGCGTACCATTGTCCTGCTCACAGTTGTTGAGAGCGGCGATCTCTTCTGCAGTCAGAGATTCTACAGAGGCGGCGCGTGACTCTGCTGCGAAAGCAGGTGGTCCTATGGGAGCGGAGGATGTTGATTCCGTGGAAGCTGCTGGTGCTTCTACAGCGGCAGATGGTTCCACAGTAGCAGGTGACCAGGCCTCTGCCAATTGGTCGATAGGTATACTTGATGCGGCGGCGCTCGTGGTCTCAACTTTCTGATGCTGGCATTGCGCAGGAACGTGAGCAAGGTAAGGGTCAATATCGAGGGCCTGAAGAGCAGCAGCACGAGTGTCCGGGTCTTGCACAGAGAGATCCAGGAGGGAGCTGTCGTCACTCGGCTCCTCCTTCAGATACAATCCACCAAATGTCGCCGCATGCTCTGATGGGATCAAGCCGAACGTTTCACCGCTAGAGACGTTCTGCATCACAGGTAAGCGTGCGAGCACAACCTCATTCTTGTTATCTGCAGACAGCTGATCCAACAACGCATTCCAAACCTGAGCGATATGATCCTGCAGCCGAAGATGGTGTGATCCATGTGTGCTTGTGATGAATGCGGACGGGCGGAAATCCTTGGACTGCATGATAACGCGCATGTTGTATCGAAGGACGTGGTCAGAGGCGAGTGCAGAGATCATCTCGAGACCTGAGGGCTGGCCTTGCATGATCTTATTCCACATCTTGTGAGTGCCTTCAATCCGGCTGCCGTCTGAGCGCAGATCATTCCGAGGGCGCGTGAGACAGCCCTTCCGCACATGTCGCAGCTGATCTGCGTGAACCTAATACAGCAAGCCACCGGAACGCCCCCAGAATGCCGCCAAAATCAGCTCTCACGCTCTGCTAGTATGTAAGGCACGTTCGACCCACCTTCGCAGCAGCTGCTGACCACACACCCTTCTCCTCGAACCTACTATACATCATGACCAGACGCCTTTCCTGCTCGTCCTTTGTTCTGTACACAGCCGGCCTGCCACCCTCTGCACGAGACTCCAGGATGCTAGACGAGAACTCCGCAGCTACAGAGCGATATTGTGGGTTCTGCACACTGCCATGCACAGCAGCAAGGTATCTGCCAGCAATATTGATAAATTTAGAACTTTGGCCTTCCGGTGCGTGAAAATACACTATCTGATGGCAACACGTACCTCATCATGCAGTGCCAGACATCAAGTTTGACGGGAACATGTGGAAAGTGGGTCTTGACGGCTGTTTCGGACTGGCAGCAGTTGTCCGCAGTCATACTCTCTGGGTACGCCACTTTTAGCGTATCGCAACGGTTTCGGTACCCGGCCAGAGATTCGCCGAATTCAGCACCAGCGCCGCTTTGACAGAAGCGCTGCGAGGCGAAGATGATATAGGTGAGATTTTATTGTAATGGTGCGAAGATTCGCAGCTTACATATAGCAGAATTTCATTCTTCTCATTGACAACAGTAAACATCCCACCTCGTACGACTGCGCGGTGCTGTCTAGCGTTGTTGAGGACTGTTGCCTTCTTCGACAGCTTGAAAGTATGATCAAACGACAGACAGACTCCTTGCGTACGAGTGTATCAGGTAGGCTAATGTTCGCATCGAGGATATGGACTGTTACTTACCGGTGAGTGTTTTTAGATACGCCGAAGACTCTGCACGACGTGTCTTCTTAATAAACTCAAGGTAAATGTGTGAAATCGTATCACTACTGATTGAGCTGTCCGCATAGGCCATCAGATTATTAGGTGCCGAGAACTCCTTGGGCACAGGATGCGAAGATGGCCGCAAAGCACCACCAAAGGTTATCATGGTCTGTTGGCCAGCCGCACGAGCACGAGTCAATGCACGTTGAAAGTGCACAAGGTACGCTTGATGACGCTTTTGCCATTGAAAGAGATGGAGCTCTGTTGCGCTTTTGCTTCAGACGAGCACTCTCAGAATGTACGAGAAAGAAAGCTCACGGTTTATGTGTGTCTCTATTGCAGATGCCGGTAACGAGATACGCAGCTGTACAATGAGATTGAACAGCTCGCGTGTAACAGCTGACCGCCGAAAGAAACAAGGTATCTTATCTGTTCCTCTCTCAGTTGGTGTTTGCTCACGCTGATGGCGATCAAAGACATACCAGGTATCTCCCAATGCTCCCAGTTCTGCCAGAATAGTTCGTTCGTCGTTGCGTAGCAATGGATAATTGACTTGTCTCCGTTCTTACGCTTCTTCTCTTCTGCACAGTCACTGCACCGGAGCTGAAATCCTAACGCTTTCTCTTCACACAGCAGCCCATGAATCTCACAGCTCCCTGTCGATGTCCATCCGTCCCACACCATGTTTTCGTGCGTGTTGTCTCGTGGGCAGTGCTTGAGCTCAGGAAAGAATACTGGGTGCACAGTTGTGATGGGCTTAAGGTAAGCAGCCTCTGGCTCAATGATCGGTGCGGCTTCTCGTAGGCTAATGTCGTCGAACATTGGAGGTACAAAGCGGGGACCGTACAGTGGAACAGCTGCCTTCAGACGCTTTCCGTGCTTCGTGTCTTGCGTCGCTTTCATTGCCTGAGCAAGCCAGTTCACATATTGAACTACACTTGCTTCGAACTTGAGCTGTATAGCATGGGTTGACTGATGTCCTTGTCGCTTCTTCATCCAGGCTTCCGCTCGAGCAGCCACCTGTAAATGCCAGAGGTAAGCATTGTTCAGCTCTATTGCCTACTTGAACTCACTTCACGATCCCAGTTTGCTTCAAAATCCGTGCGTTCGAGAGGTGGAAGGCTCGCTTTGATTGCAGCTTTCACGACACCTTCGTCAAAGCTGGCCATGTTCAAAGTGCAATTGCTTGTTGGTACGTAGTGCAGATACTAGTCTCACAATACTGGTGACTGAAAAGACAACAGGGTTCTGAGGTTTGCAAAGGTGAATGTGCAACGCAAGGCGGTTAGACGTCCGACATTGAGTTGAGTCGTCCCTATCTTTTTTCTCTGGACTCTTACTAACTAAGGTATTCCGCCGCTTTTGGAATCCGCCGTATGCGCAACCTGAAACGCCCTCGCATAGCTACGCGGCCCTTCACATAGCTAGAGCCAATGGCCATCTTTGTACCCATATCGCGTATCATTAAATTTGCTATTAGGACACAGGAATACTAAAATACAATTTAATCTGCTCAAAATTTTTGCGTCTTCCCCATGCCCGAACATTAGTCTATGCAGTATTATGGACAATTCAGCTACCCGTGAACTGACCAGTCTCGCAGTCTGCCATGCATGGTCAAATAGCCACCTTCACGGCGCAGCTCTATAGTGAAGAGAGTTTCGATCGTGGCGGGCAGCCATACGACAGAGGCAGCGGTCTCTTGATGCGGAAAACTGTAGGCCTCCGCCTTGACGGCACTTGAGCTTGGCATTGTAATCTCTGTACGTGGGTTAATACCATTTATTTCAAGCTTCGGCTTCTTGCAGACAGCTTTGTTCAGTTGAGCATCTGCGCGCCAGACAGCTTCAAGAGCTGCGCGTGTGAATGAAGAGTCTTCGTGTATAGATGAGGTCGAGGCCGATAGTGCTGCAGCACGTTCAAACAGAGCCCAGTCGATGCCGTCCGAGCTTGCGCTGCAAGAGCGACTGCGTTTGAAAGCGGAAGGCTGTGGAGTTGCATAAATTGGTGCCTGACATAGTGGAGATCATGCCGATAACTTACTGATGCAGCCTGGCTGATGCCATCTGAGCTTGTGATGCTGTGGGATTGGCTGCATTCTGAAGCACAGGGCTAGAATATACAAGTAAATTTGTGAGTGTACAAGTACTGTAGGAGGCTGAACACTTACTGATGTTACCAGAGGCTCACTGTTCTGTATATCCTGCAGCAGTAAATACATCCCTCCATCTTCGGTGAATGAAAACAGTGTGCTTGAAGATACCACTTCTCCAACTGCGTCCTGCACAATCTTTGCCAGGCAGGCAAGCGAGTCCTGATTGCGGCACCACTGGAGACGGGAGATATGCGTGTGTGGTGCTTCGAGGCGGATTGTTGTTCGGGTAATAACACCTGTTGGCGCTGGTTCGACAAGTTCTTCACATCCGTCTTTGGAGACATGGCCGATGCAGTGAAAGAAGAGAGGAAGCCGAAAGACTTCTGTGTCTTCAAGAAGCACAGGGGTCGGCAGGATTTGAGCAAGGCGCAAAGCGCCGCTGTGGTGCACTCGTCGAATGATAATGTCACGCGGGTTGTCGTGTCGGACTGCATCCAAAGACATGATGCATAGTTTGAGGTGCTCGGGTTTGATGTGTGGCATGGCAAGAATGAGGTGGACCAAAGCAAAAGACATACCATCCCCTATTTCCGCTCTCTTCGTCTCTTAGCACAGTGTCCTGCCCACAAAAGGCAAGCAGCTATGTTGTTCGCCCGCCAGTTTTGCCAACCGCCCTCTGACCTCACTCATCGCTCCCGCAAGATGTTGCACTTCTCTGGACAGCGCCGTTTGGATGGCAATACTGCAAATATATTTTTATTGGCAAGCAGACAGGTCATGGCACATCAATCTACAGGTCAGTCAGGTGGACGATGGGTGGACGACGGGTTCAGCTGGCAAGCGGCAGTGACGGCGGGCCAAACTGTGGTCAACGGACAACATCAAGCCCGACGCGAGATTCTGCATTTTGATGGCGATCCTTCATCGACCACCAGCTTGGATTCCCTTCACATCTCCGTCCCAAGATCTCTGCCGAGACCGTGGGAACCCTGGCCAACCCTGACCGACCCTGGTCAAACGCTTCCCACGGGTCCCTGGGCTGCTAGCGCGCCGCCTACGGCGGCCTCCCCCCTTGCCATGACCTAGTTGCCGTGCAATGGCTGAAAGTCACGTGACTCTTGGGCGTGCACGGTTCGGTCCATAACCCGATTCTAGGGGAATCGGAACTGCCTTGTCTGACAACAAGGTGTGACGCTGTATTGTTGATTATTGGCATGGTAAGATATATCAAGCTTTTATTGAACTGAAACTTACTGGCTCAACAGTCGAATGCGTGGGGAAGGCAGGGATTTATCAAGCTGAAAGTGAGTCCATCGACGACCCGTGTTGTAACTTGCCGTAGAAACATTGCTGAAGGGCGGCTAGATATCTCGTATTTATACCAATGCTGCCAAATGCTCAGGCTCTGAGTCGGCTGCTGCATGTTGAACCTCACCGGCATCCTCGCCAGAGCGGCTCGCGGCATCGCGAAGTTGTAGTAGCTCTACGCTCACAAAGCAGTCCGACGCGCAGAGAGCGCGATGCTGCAACACGTGCTATTTCGATACTCAGACAGAAGAATGCAAGTTATTACCAATAGTTCTGGATCTCACAGGCCGGCATCAGCGGATTAATATACCACTGATTTGGGCTTGTTGGTGCGTTTTGCTTTCCCGAGAAAGCAAGAAGCTCGGATTTCATACGCAGAAACGGTCAATTTTCTATCGCCCGCCGACGTAGCAAGGCGACGATTGGCTGCAGAATCGTCTTATCGTGTTCACCTGGTGCTCGGGATAACCTTCAGTGCTTACCTCGTAAGCTCTTCTTTGTCCGTTGTAGGACCCGTGTTCTCATGGTACGCAGGCTCCGATATGGGTTTTATGCAATTATAGAGTGCGTTGCTAACTCGATCTTACAGGCTTGCCGGGTCATCTATTGGCTATCTGTACCAGGAAAGAGGCTCGCGTTACCGGCGTGTAAGTAGATTTTCCTTTCACTCGGCCAGTTCTAGACCGCAGATCTTTCCCACAGCGGCAGTCCCGCTGTGTGCCT